GTGGACACTCATACAGCAGCAACTGCTGTCATGTTACAGGCCTTTCAGCATCCTCTGTAGGGACGTCCTCACATCAAACTTTCTTCGAAGCTGCAGATCTATAGAACCACAGTTATACCAAGTTCAGAAATGAGAATATTCAAAGCTGAACCCAGCAACTGCGTCCATCAGCACTGGTTCGGTTTCAGTGGCTTTCTTGGTATGGATACATTATTAGAATGGAAGGCCAACATATTCCAAAACATCTGTATCAAGCAATGCCACTTCATAGCTGGTGATCATGTGAGGGTGAAAAGTTTTGGTGGCATGACAAGATTTCCAGAGACAGGGACAAACGGAATATAGAACTTAAGCATCTAGCCAGAGACTGATCCAGGTGGTGTTTTGATGCTTAATTTGCAAGGAGGCCATATCCCTTTGTGATTTGTGATGATGACTGATGAAGAAGAAACTAGAATGGAATAAGGAGCCAACCTCACTTGTGCCACTTGCATGAAATGTAACCATTGCAATGCAGGTACCGCTACCAAAATGACCTCAGTGACCGGATGAAGTCCTGCTCCTGTCTTCTGCTCTGTCTACACAGACTGTTTGGAGACCTTCAGTTGTTAAAGGCCACCATGTAGTTTATTTACATTTCTCTTCCCACCATCTTTACTGATCCATACACCACAGCATTTACAATGTGTTCCTCCTCAGACTTCAACAAAGAAGAGGAGAGGGAAGAGATACCTCCTTAGTTCTGGCTTCACAAGCCTGCCTCTCCCTTTAGCACTTCCTTCCTGTGCCGCCTTCTACATTCTGTGCTAATGGGCTAATTAGCTCTTTCCCAGACCATTCTAATCTGCTAATTAGGCAGTCAGCTCCTCCCCCAGGGGAATTAATTGGTGGTTATGTGATCAGAATGCTGACTCAGCCATTGATTCCCAGCATTCTGTAACACCCCTCTCATGGGAGCATCTCATTGGAAGGAAACGGGGGTGGGTGGAACTATGATTCTGTCCCTCTGCACTAGCCATTAGAGCTGGCTGGCCACATGGAATGGGGGTATGCCGCAGTTCTTAAAGCGGCACAGCAGATTGTGCTTCCCCAGCACACCATGTCGCTCCTGGCAGCATTCTGCACTAATACATATTACATGCACAATCTATCCCGAAGTTCACAACAGGTCTCACACGTGTTTATAATCCAGAAAATAGTCTGCCCTTTCCTCATTTTCAGAATATGCCGTTTCCCTTCACAGTTTTGTGCCCCTTGTTGTGAGCAGAATGAATGAATAGTTTTGATTCAGTCACCTCAGCGTAAGGAAAATAAGGGGTTAACCTCAATCTAAGCTTTTCTTGATACGAGTTCCTTAAAATCAAATATCACCATAATTATTTCATACTACCACATACCTAAGGCAATAATATTGTATATATTCTATAGCAACAATATCTCATACTCCTCTTAAAATCCTCCACTTATATCTTTTTTTCAAAAAACTTACAGCTATTCCATGGTTGATAGCTTCCAAGATCTTTCATCACAAACTCCAAGGGGCCAAATAATGCTCTCAGGTATTTTGTCTGCTTCTCCACTGGTGTCAATAAATTGCAACTGCATCCCACAGAATGATCTGTATGCATCACAGAGCAGAATTTGGCTCTAACATTCCTTTCCAGAGCATATAGTTTTATTTTGCATAAAGTGATTTTGCTATTGCAGTTTGTTGCCCCCATCATTTATATTTTACACCTGATTAAGCTAAATCTTGATTTACTGGTCCTTCAGCAAACATTCAAATCTCTTTGAATCTAATTGCATTGTTCTTCATTGTTTGTCAGAGCAGCAGAGTTGCTATCATCAACAAACTGACATCTAAGATGAAGAGTTCAGAGACAAACATCTCCACGGTCTCACAATAGGTGCCAGCAATGATATTTACATCTAGATTAGAACTTGTTCAAGGTTGATAGGATCCAGGATTATGATTTTGGTACATCTTTATGAATACTATTTTGAAAGCTTTAAGGATCCTTTTCATTTTGTTTTTCTCCCCACAATTAACATTAAGCTATACCACAAGATAAGTTGTTTACTTTTTTATCATAGGGCTTGTTTCTGAACTATGGTTCTAAGTTGTCATGCTCCTCTGCTCAGAAACTTGATCCATGTATAAAGAGCTTTAAAATAATGGGAGGGAAGGAGTCATAACTGTTAAAACATCAAAAGTTCTTTCTTTCTTTTAAAACCAGAAGCTGCATGCAGTAGCAGGTAGTTTATCTTAAAGAGGGCAGGCTTTCCCATTATCTACAAACGAGCTAACTCCTCTGATTACTTTACTTCACTGAAGGACAGGGTGGTTGACTAAACCTGCTCTCATAGAATCATGGAATCATAGAATATCAGGGTTGGAAGGGACCTCAGGAGGTCATCTAGTCCAACCCCCTGCTCAAAAGCAGGACCCATCCCCAAATAAATCATCCCAGCCAGGGCTTTGTCAAGCCTGACCTTAAAAACTTCTAAGGAAGGAGATTCCACCACCTCCCTAGGCAACGCATTCCAGTGTTTCACCACCCTCCTAGTGAAAATTTTTCCTAATATCCATTCATTCCCTTCCAAAAAGGCAGAATCAAAATCATTGTTGAACAAATCTGCCCTATCCCTGTTTCTGTTCCCCACTATCGTTCTTATTGGACCACATCTCTCTTGTCCCTTCTATCTACTGTGAATATATTCAGTGAATCATTATTTTTTAATTATCTTACACATCTAACAGGATGCTTATCTCTGGCTGTTGGAACCCTAAGAAAATTGTAAAGGTTCAATAGAGCCTTTACACTCCGTCCACAATAAAGGATGGCACATAATTATTGTACCCCAGGATCAGCCAAGTATTTCTCTCCTGTTTCCCTCTTACTCTGAAACCTGTCATTACTTCCCTTTGAGCAAGAGCCGTGTTAGTCTGTATTCGCAAAAAGAAAAGGAGTACTTGTGGCACCTTAGAGACTAATCAATAATAATTAAATTAATAATAATTAAATTGGTTAGTCTCTAAGGTGCCACAAGTACTCCTTTTCTTTTTAAAGGGAAGTAAGTTACTGCTTCTCTTGAAAAGGTGCAGCTTACCTTCCCCTTGCTCCTGGCTAGCTAGTCTGTCCAGAGGGGGCAAAGCTAAGTCTCTACTTGCTTCCCAATCCATTGTAATCTCTCTCTCTAGCCATTGCTTTACTGGAAAGGAGTGTCCATAAAGCAAGAGCTATCCTACATACACGATCTGGACTTCCATCCTGTGTAGGATAAGCAAGGGGAAAGGTCCTTGTTTAGCTGAGTAAAACATGGGCATACTCGAGCCCTATGGGTATAATCCACAATAAAATAAAAGAATAGTTGAAAATTTATTCTTTGGAATACAAAGGTAAAGCTACCTTTTAACTTACCTCTTATTTCTCTATATCACCTTGTCCTCCTCCTTGGTCAGTTGATTATACTGTAGTTTAATAAAGCATCTGTTTAATACTTTGTACCAATTTTGTTCTGACTCTTCCCCCACTGGCCTTTAACCTATGTAGATTTAACCAGGCTGCATTTTCATTGTAGTCTGTCTGACAGGTTTTAGGTAACTCTCACTTGTACTACAGTAGTGTGTTTTTTTTTTTATACTCCGAAAGAATCCTCATCAAAATTCCTCAAGGCATTGTTCCTCAACATCAGCTTTACTAACCCTCAAATACCTGTGTTTTCTCCTCAAGTATTCACTGTCTTTTACCAACATCTTTCTTTTCGAGTATTAGGGTGATCCCTAGATACTAGCTTCTCTCTATGCTTAGCCTGAATTATCATACTTGGCTCAGTTTCCCAGGACTAGGTCCAAAATAGCTTGTGCCAATGCAAGCTAGCAAACAGCATAAAAATGCAATCTTGCCCAAAACCTCTAAAGCATGCCCCCCTTGTTAATTTTGTGCAGTTATGATCCTAATCAATATCTAAGTAATTAAAATCCCCCATGATCAATTTTCCAGCCTTCCTACAGGACTCTCTAAATTAGAAAAGCATTTCCTGATCTCCTTTCTCTGCCCTGATTTCTGTAGCAACATCCAAGAATCACCTATTCTATTTTTACTGTCCTTGGCTGTGTCAGCTAATATATTTCTAAAATTTCTCTCCACAGACTTAATAACATCACCTACCAATATCATCACATCCCTGTTTGATTCTGCTTACTCTTCACTAAATGCAGTATTGTGGTATTAAGTCCCCAGTCATTTTCCCAATTCAGTCATGTCTCTGTTATTTCAATAATACAAACCTTCTCTTTGAAACAATGTAGCTCACAGTCAGCAATTTTAGGCCCCAATCCTGCTCCAATTCTTTGGGCTATATACTTCTTTCAGGAGCACCACTGTAACTTTTTTTTACAAAGTTTTTAGATGAATACTTTATTCATTGAAAAAACATAGTCTTGACAGCCGTAAAACTAGTCATAAATTTGACACAAATTTACCAAATAGTTTTGGCCAATTTGTGGGGGGGAGCAGCTAGATTCATGGGGATTTGGGCACCATTCACAAAGGAGGAGTGTCTCTCTCTTTCTCTGGCCCATTGATTATTCAAGTATCTTACACAAAGCGGAACCACTTCAGCAGGAAAGATGCCACTCTAAAATACCCTATAGCCAGGTGGTTAGAGCACTACTAACCTTCAGGGTGGGAGACCGGGGCTCAAGTTCCTGTTCCAGAGCCAGACTTTGAACTTGAGTCTTCCACATACCATGTAGGTGCCCTAATCCAGTGGGCTAAAAGTTATAAGACCTTATACTACCTCTTCTTACCTAACCCTTTGAACTAAATGTTTTGTCTGACCCAAAATGGACTCTTCAATTCAACAAATTCCAAAACATTTTCAGATTCAGTTCAGCTTGACTCAAATTTTTTTCCCAATTTTTTTTTTTTCAGAATTGCCACCAAAACAAAAAATCAGTTATTTTCCCAGCTCTAATTGTGACCCCTTTGACTTACCTAGTACCCATTAAGTGCAGATTTTCAGGTTTTCTTTCTGAGCTCTCTTTTTGATAACCACTGGCTAGGAATACTAGAAAGTTAATGTTAACTAAGGATTTAATTGCTTAACTAGTAATTTAAATAAAGGCAAAGGAACTTTGGACCCTATTCTCTTCTCATGCTATGTGAACATCCATTGAAGTCAATGGGAATTTTGTTCAAACATCCAGGATAGAATGAAAGTCTGTTTTAGCAGTCAGTCTTTGCTACACCACACTCCCCTTCCAAATGGATTACAGTTGTTAAACAATCCTTACCCTCTGACCATTACCAAGTGTTCTCATAAATGGGGATAGTAGTACTTACTTTATCTAGTCTCAATAATTTAAAGAATTGAAAATGTCTGTATATAAAAATTGACTCTTTCTTTCTTCTCCTACCTCACTTGTCTTAGATTGCTTACAGCTGTTCAGGACTGGGACTGTGTTTTGGTATGTGTATGTACAATGCCCATTACAATGGACCCTAATCCTAATGGGGCCCTGTGGGTGCTGCTGAAATAAAATATAGATACATAAATGCATATTCACCCCCAGACTCCTGCTTCTGAAATAATAACTTCTACCAACCACTGAGACCATACAATGCTAGAAAATATAAATGTAGAATTCCCTTTTTCTCATTTTCTGGGCAAGCTTCCCTTCGAATATCTCTGATCTCCTTTCTGTTAAATTATTTATATCAACATGTACAACTGCAACAGAATTCTCCTTTTTCCTAACATACGAACTGGTTCAGTAATACCATGGAAATTACTTTTTTGGGACACCCTTTTAGTTTCACGCTAAGAGTCAGGGCTCTTAATCTGATTGAAGTCGATGACAAAATCCCCTTTCAATTCAGTGATCCAGGATCAGCCTTAATCATCTTCCCTGATTGCCAGGAGATGACTCCCCCTGTTTCTTTTGGTTGGTGTTTGTAGTGGTTTGGAGATTTTATGGGACAGATCCTCAGCTAGTGTAAATCAGCATAGTTCCATTGAGGTATGCTGATTCACATCAGCTCAGGAACTGTTCCTTAAATTTAGGTAAAGTGTCCCCCTTCCCCCCCCACTTTTTTTTTTTTTAAGCAATGGAAAATCCGAATCAGTCACTCACTAATTAAGTGTCTACATTCTTAATCAGATTTGCCCGTGAAGTTGATTTAATGCACCATGCACATTACAGAACTAAGAATAGCAGCTGGAGTACTTACGAATGAGATTTTCAAAGGACGCTAAATGAGCTAGGTACTCATCTTCCCTTGAATTTCAACAGATGTTTTGCCATTGACTTCAGTGGGGCCAGGATTTCATCCCGGATGTTCAAACTTTAGTTAATTTTGAATTTAAAAATTTGAATTCACTAGCGTGCCTAAAAATTCTTTAGCTGGAGACACAATGAAGTTGAACTACCATAGAGCTTTGATTAAACATCAGATTTTACCACTTTAGAGCGCTGAACGTTATTTGGCTCCCTGGGAAGTGACCCAGTTAAGTAACATTTCCCCATTAACTATATCCTGATTAAGCAAAGTGCCCTGTATCTGTAAGAAATTGCACAGACTTCCAGTTGTGCCCTTGGCTCAGACTTACATTGAGAACTAGAACAATGACTATTCATGAAACAGAACATCAGGTTTGCTGCTGAAAATGTTCCACTCCACCTCACAGGTCCCTCATGCACAGTGCTGCATTGTACAATATTTCCTGTTAGCCTGTTACATTCAATAACTAGAATTTATGGAGCAATGGGCCTTATTATTCTAGTAATCCTTTTACCTCATATTTTTTTCACCCTTACATGGTCTCTTCACTGTTGTTCAGTTTCCTCCCTCCCCCTTTCAGTCATCCCTGTTCTTCTGTGATGTGTTTCCAGTGCACTCATCTGCCAATTTACATGGCAGCTCTGGCACTTCCCCTGCCCAGAGATTAAAACACACATCAGCAGTGAAACTCTCATCTTAACTTGTCTTCTAAAAACACCATAGCTATTCAGCTCCCATATCATTGTATAGTACTCTGCCTGAACTAACAGCCACAAACAAGGGGTCTCTTACCTCATCAGCCCCAACAATCACTAAACATCAGTGGTTACGGTGATGAGCCCTTTAGAAATACCTATCAAGAAATATGCAACCTAGTGTAACCTGTTGGCTCGTTAACGGGTACTTTCAATCCACCCTGGCTGAACTGGAGGGAAAGGACTAAGGCAGTGGAACACACTGTTACACATTTCAACATCTTGTCATTATGGGGCCACATACAGGCAAGTGAACAGGAAAAGGATATAATAACTTGAAGTCAGAGGGCAGAAGGCTCAGGAGGGAGCCATAAGCTGCATGGAAGCAGAAGCAACAGCCTGCAAATTGGCTCTGGAGGGAAGACTGGGTAGCAAATAACCTAAGGTGCAGGATTTATAAACTTTATTGTGCCTAAGGTATTTACACCCTTAATTTCTGGAAGCCCTAGTAAAATAATCCTGCATTTCAATAGTATATGATTATTTATGGGGACCCACCAAGGGTTAGAACCTATTTCATCCGGTGCTTAGAACAACTACAGTACCTGCCTCCAAGAATGTGATATATGGCACTCTCTACTAGACATCAGAGGGAACTGGGATCTCTCTTTCTCTCTGGGTATGACTACACTGCCATTAAAAATCCACAGCTGGCCCATGACAGCAGACTCAGATTTATGGGGTTCAGGCTAAAGGGCTGCTTAATTGTGGTATAGACATTCCAGTTCAGGCTGCAGTCTGAGCTCTACCTCCTGTGAAGTGGGAGGGTCATAGAGCTTGGGCTATAGCTCAAACCCAAACATCTACACCACAATTAAACAGCCCTGAGCCCAAGTCAGCTGGCATTGGCCAGCTGCAGGTATCTAATTGCAATGTAGATATATGCGCGCGCGCACGCGCACACACACACACACACACGAAAACCTTGAAAATTTTCATGAAAAAATGAACTTTCATTTCCTGGCCACTCCTACTAATGACCCACACCTCTTGGCTAGACAGCCAACGTGTGGGAGGCATCAACAGCCAAGCAGGGATGAGTGAGACCTAGTCATGCTAGTGCAAGCACTCTACCCAGTTTCCCTTTTCTCAGTATCCTACAAACTCATAGACTTTAAGGCCAGAAGGGACCATCATGATCATCTAGTCTGACCTCTTGCCCATCACAGGCCATGGAACCTAACCCATCCATTCCTGTAATAGACCTATAACCTCTGGCTGAGTTACTGAGGTCCTCAAATAGTCATTTAAATACTTCAAGTTACAAAGAATCCACCATTTACTCTAGATCAAAACAGCAAGGAACCCATGCCCTGTGCTGCAGAGGAAGACAAACAGTCCACTCTTTTGTCTCTGCCAATCTGACCAGGGGGAAAATTCCTTCCTTACCACAAATATGGTGATCACCTACCAGCCAGACACATAAGACAGAATTCTCTGTAGTAACTCAGAGCCCTTGCCACCTAGTCTCCCATCTCCAGCCATTGGAGATATTTGCTAATAGGTCGTGGCTGTGCCATATGCCATTGTTGGCAGTGTCATCCTACCACTCCCTCCATAAACTTATCAAACTGATCCTTAAAACAAGTAACTGTTTTGCGTCCACTTCTCCCCTTGGAAGGTAGTTCCAGAGTCTCCTCTGATGGTTAGAAATCTTTGTCTGATGTCAAGCCTAAACTTATTGATGGCCAGTTTAAACTCATTTGTTCTTGTGCCAACATTGGCCCTTAACTTAAATAACTCCTCTCCCTCCCTGGTGTTTATCCCTCTGATTATCTCTATTTATAGAGAGCTATCATACCACCCCTCAGCCTTCATGTTTGTCAAGCTAAACAAGCCAAGCTCTTTAAGTCTTCTCCCGTAAGGCAAGTTCTCCATTCCTCCGATCATCCTAATAGACCTTCTCTGCACCTGTTTCAGTTTGAATTAATCTTTCTTAAACATGGGAGACCAGAACTGCACCCAGTATTCCAGATGAGGTCTCACCAGTGCCTTGTATAATGGTAATAATACTTCCTTATCTCTACTGGAAATACTTTGCCTGATGCATCCTAGGATAACATTAGCCTTTTTTTTTTTTTGGCCACATCAGATTGGTTGCTAATAATCATCCTGGGATCAACCATACACTCAGGTCTTTCCCCTCCTTTTTGACTTCCAACTAGTCATCCCTATACGTCCCTAGTTTACAGCAAAAATTATTGTTGTTAGTCCCTAAGTGTATAACCTTGCACTTCGCAATATTCAATTTCATCCCATTTCTATTACTCCAGTTTTCAAGGTTGTCCAAATCTTCTTGTATGATATCCTGGTCCTCATCCATATTGGCAATATCTCCCAATTTTAAGTCATCCACAAATATTAACACATTCCCACTTTTCGTGCCAAGGTGATGAATGAAAATATTTAAGAAGACTACTCCCAAGACCAGTCCTTGAGGAACTCCACTACTACCCTTCTTCCAGCTTGAGATTCACCTTTCAGCATTTACCACTGTAGTCTCCTTCTTTAACTAGTTTTTTACCCACTGTGACAGGGCACTCACTTCTTGAGTGCTGCCTATCAGCTGGGCATGGTGCTGCAATCTTTTCCTTGCTCCTGGCATTCCCTCTATGTTGCCTACCTTGCTAGGCAGGTCTTTAGAGGTGCGGCCCGCCAGCCAATTCACACAGACAAATGGATGAACCCTTTCTGGGGTAGCAAACAGTTCAACAAGCTGTCGGCCCTCACCAGGGTCTTTAGTCCCGTCTTTGGACCCTTTAAATCCTGCTCTTCACTCAGGCTTCCCAATAGGTCCTTGTTCCCTTCTTGGGGCCTAGGCCATTTCCACAGTGACAGTGGAGGAACCCAGACCTGCCAACCACTCTGAGTCCCAACCCAGAGACCCTGTAAATACCAGCCATATACCATTACCTCCAGTTCACTGCTTCTGTTCCCTGGGCCTTTTTCCCACACAGCCTCTTTCTCTTCACCCTTACCTCAGGGCTGAAGTTCTCAGATCCTCTTCCTCCTCACTGAATGCACATGCCATC